TTACCGGAGGTGGCCCTGGGGTCACCTTCTCTCAATGGCTTCCACTGTGACAGCCCCAGAGGCCTCCAGGACAACGCCACGGGTGCTTAGAATAATCCCCACACTCCTTACCAGAGCCAGGGACCTGCCTGCCCCACCCTCTGAGGCCCCTCCACTCACTTGGCTGCTTTCACTCCAGCCCTTGTTGTAAGCCCACCTCACCTCGGAACCGCCTGGAACCCCCTTTCCCAGATACCCACACTTCCAGCACCTTCTGCCTATGCAGGTACCAGCTCCAAGGCCTTCCCCTAGCCAGGTCACCTCTGCCTCCCAATCAGGAACCCCAAGGGCCGTTTCCTCTGGGGGGACCTTGGCCTGGTGTCCCCGCTAGCAGGTAAGCTTCTGCCTGACCTGGGCCCGAGCCCAGCTCCCTTATAACCGGGTACCTAACCTAGGACAGGGGTGTAGGGCTCAGCTTCCAGATGGGATTAGCCCATCAGGGCTTTGCAGGACGGGTGACTAGGCCAGGGTGGGAGGGGCAGGTGTCATGCTGTCTCACAACCTGGAGAAGAGTGTCCTTTCCGCCCCAGGATCCAGGCTGAGGTCACCCACCCTCCTCGGAAACCCGGTCTCTTCCCTGCCCGCCCCCAGCAGCCACACCCCAGCCGTCACTCACTGCTTCGTTTGTTTTGGCATCGAGGGCTCATCCTGTTTGGCCAGGGGCCCACTGGCCTCCTAAGCACCCAGCATTGAGGTCTATTTAGTGCTTGAGCTTCTGGGTTTGTAAATTTCCATTCCTATTTATTGGCCCCACAGAGGAGTACACCCCTTTCTCCACCCCCCTGTTCTGATCTTAAAATCAATAACCGTGAATGTTGGTATAGCAGGTTATTCGGAATAAGAATCAAACAGCTAAAGCCCAGCTGGCAGGGCTCAGTGACTGGGTGTCGACCTATGAACCAGGAGGTCAGGGTTCGATGGCCGATATGTGGGCTCAATCCCCAGTGTGGGGCGTGCAGGAGGCAGCCGATCAATGATTCTCTCTCATCATTGATGTTTCTCTCTCTCTGTCTTTCCCTCTTCTCTGAAATCAATTAAAATATACTTAAAAAAAAAAGAAGAATCAAACCTCTGAAAAAATAGTCTTTGACTCTGAAAGATTATACTATGGAAATAAAGATAACCCTAAAACTTAGTGAGCTCAATTTAAGTTTCCCAATGGGTCGGGGGGGGTTGTCTTTTTTTCCCTTGGCCGGATAGATCAGGGCACCTACAACAGGGTACAACATACAGTAGGTGCTACAAGAATGTATATGGTTTCTATTGCAGTTGTTTGGAACGAGATAACAGCTACATCTAAATCCCGTTGGAGGGCTTAAAAATTGTGGTTTATTCATCCAACAGTTTCTGTCCAACCTCAAAAAGAGGTCTCTATCAAAAAACAGTCATGGCCAGGAGATATGTGTACGGCTTAGAGTTAAGAAGAGAGGTGCCAGTGTGAACCTAACTGCTGAAAACATGCGCACTCGCCTCAAACCCAAGCGTGCAGCCCGGCGGCCCTGCGTTAGAAGCCTCACCGCTCCCCGTCACCCAGAGTGTGTGGCGTGGGCACTTCCATCTATGGTTTCAGCATCTACTCTTGTTGGGCACTGACCCGCGTGCTGGCTGCAGTGCAAACCAGCCCCGGCCTCTCTGAGCCTTGGTGGACTGACCTACACAGCACCCCCATCCAGCAGCTCACCACCCCTCACAGTGATTGCAAAGGGGACGGGTCACACGCCAAGTGCACATGGCTCCTCCCCTCCGGGTGGGAACGGGGACTTACAAGGCCGTGTGGTGATGTGGAGAGTCGGTGATGGGCCTGCCCAGCTTCCAGGAGCACCTGCTCGGGGCATCAGGCCGGATCCACAGGTGATCCTTGGTGTCCTTGTCCCCTGCGGGCCCCTGCTCCAGGCTCCTTTTGGCTGAGTGTGTCCCGGAGAGGTGGGGGCACCCTGCCACCCCCTCTTTTGCTTGGAATGTCTCAGAAGACATGCTTCGCTCTATCAGAGGAACAGCAAAGAGAAGTCATGGGTTTAGGCCGTTCAAACGCTGCAGAAGAGCCTGCTCTGATGCGGCTGGGCCCAGGGACTGCTGCTCGCCTCCCGCCCGCCCTCTCTGGGTGCAGGGCTCCACACATTCAGGGGCTCAGCAAGAACAGGCATAAAAGCACAGGCACCAAGTGCTCGGACAAGTGTGGTGGTTTCCCTAAAGGTTAAGTAGCCTGGCCGGCATGGCTGGTGGTTGAGAGTCGGCCTGTGTATGAGGCAGGAGGTCACGGTTCAATTCCCAGTCTGGGCACATGCCCAGGTTTGCAGGCTCCATCCCCCGAGTGGGTGTGCAGGAGGCAGCCAATCTATGATTCTCTCTCATCACTGATGTTTCTCTCTCTCTCTGAAATCAGTAAACAAACAAACAAATAAATAAAGTTAACTACCCCACAATTCTACTCCTAGGCATCTATCCAAAAAAAATGGAAACAGATTTGCACACCACATTCATAACAGCACTATTCACAACAGCCAAAATGCCCAAAGCAAGGGGCCTTCCATGAATGAATGGCTGTACAATGTGTGGTACACTCACACAATGCAGTATTCTGTGGCCAAGCCCTGGCTGATAAGTGGAACAGAGCCTTCCTTCCCTCTGTCCCGCACCGGCCCCTGGGGAGGTGATTCTCCCATTTTGCCGGAGGCTCCCCACCCTGTGGGAGGCCTCCCTCCCCACCTCACAGCCTGCAGCACCCTGGCCACAATCCCACGGAGACCGGCCCAGCCTACACAGGCACCTCCTTCTTGGCAACCTCCAGCAAGGTAAGGGGCTGATGGGAAATGGATTGAAATCAATCTGGTCCGCAGGACCCAAAGGCACTCTGCTTGGCAACACGGGTCTGAACCCGCAGGCTCTGCCCTCAATTGCAGGACTGAGCTGGGGGGAGGCTGCTGCGGACCAGAGGGGACGCACGAGGTCGGGAGGTGGGCTCACTCCTCTCTCACCTGAAACCGCAGACCCTTCGGGGTCACCGTTAGGTCTGATCAAATAATCGAATGGATACCCCTCCCCCCAACTGGCTTTTCAGGCCATTTCACTATGGACATTCCCTTTGCTGCGACCACATTCCGGGTCTGCACAAAGAACTGTCCGCCCAGAAAAAGCCCGCCAAAAGTCCTTTAAAAGCCGCTGACTCCCATCCAGGCCGGGCCACCTGGTGTGCGGATGGTGGGATAACTTCGCAATCCCGCACCACGCGGGCCTCCCGCGTTCCTCCTAAGGGGACCTGACAGTCCGGGCGCAGCCAAGGGCGTCCGCACTCGCGCACCGGTTGGCCCCCCGGGGGCGCGTTAGGGCCGAGGGCGCAGATGGTAGCAAACTCGTCTTTTACGGCGAGAATGTCCAGGTGGGAGACCGCGACCCCTCAGCA